GTACGCATGCAGCCTTGTACTGAGCGACCTGTCGTGGGCCGTTACGTCTGTCTCGATGTAATACAATCCTGAAAGTAGTGTGTGCACCTGGGTCCGCCATGCGCTCACATGGTCACGAAGCGCCGCCACTCGGGCTTTGCCGGGCAACTTGACGGCGGTCACCTTGAAACGTGGCCCCTCCGCCCGACGTGGACCAGGTGGAATCGCAACCCCATGATGCGGAGAGATGCTGGATTCAACAGCAGACGCCCAAGAGGCGTAGAGGCCTGAAATCGTGGGAACAAGATCTGGCTTGAGCCCGGCAGCTTCGGATTGGCGCAGAGCAGGAGCAAGGGACTGAAGGGTGTACGAGCCAGGCGAAAACCCAACTTCTCTCCGACACCGCTCCCGCAGCTCAGGAGGCATTGCAAAAGTCTGGGCTCCTCCAAAGGCTTCTACGCCAGGGCCCGAGGGCAGGTCTCCAACACTCTGGGAACCCAGGGTCTGCGCCTGGGATGAGCCAAAGGTCGGAGCAGCGGCCGGGCACGGCAGCACTACCCCCACGCCCTCAGCCACCCCAGACGGGTCTCTCCCAGACTCCCAGGCCCCAGACTTGACAGATTCAGAGTTAAACGAATTCCCGAAACTTGGCTGACCTAAGGAGCTCTCGGGGACAAAACTTGACTCTTCGGCCCACGGGTCCTCCCCCTCTTCAGGCCATTCAGGATAGTCTGACTCAACTACGTGTTCCCTAGACTCTGGAGGGGTGGTGTCCTGGTCCCCTGACCCCTCCCCCTCAGGGTGCGCACAAGACGTCTGTGGACCACAATCGCCGAACAAGGATGCAAATTTCTGAGCGCGCTTGTCCACTGCAATATGATGCTGAACCTGTCGCTCAAGCTTAGCAAGGCTGGATTTCGAACCTACTGTCGGCCCAGAGGCGGGGCAGGGAACTTGCGGCAAACGCCCTGGCACCCCAAGGACTCTAGTGATGAGTTGCTCACCTGAACTGCGAAGGGTGACCTCCAGGCCAATGTGAGGCTTCCAAGGGGCTGCAAGGACAGGAGTGACAGAGACGGCGAAGGGGACAGCTGATTTACTGCACAACACGTAATCCATGACGGTACCCGCGCCAAGATTACCAGCGGCTGTCTCTCCAGCAGTAATCACAGTGCCGCGCAATCTGTCTGGAATGCCTGGCCGAACAAAATTTTGAGGTGAAATGCTGAAGCCGCCTATCACTATCCACGGTAACTGAAGCGACCACAGCAGGCCTGCGAGACGCTGGTATCTACCAGCGTTCAGGCCTCTCACGCCCACTCCGTTGTGCGCGTAGAGCGACGCGTTGACCATGGGGAACCCTGCGAAGTGCGCCGTCACCGCCACGGATCCGTCGAGCGAAGACGGGTGGTTGGGCGCCTGCAACTTGGAAGCCGCCGCCTTGGATGCAGCAAGCTTGGCAACCTGGAGGCGGCCCCTGGACATGAACCACCCCCCCCGCCCTCGCTCGCGAACTCGACCTGGGAGTTCGCGACAACTTTGTGCGAGCGCCTGGCAGGGTTCGCATGGGGGCGAAGCCCTTGCCCACGAGCCTTGCCGTCATACTTCTTAAGAGACTGCTTATCCTGAATATGAGTTTCAACGGTGCTGAAGAAATCGTGAGGCTGCCCAACCAGCCATGGCTACGCCTTCTCTCCCATGCCAGTGACATTCCCGCGGCATACCTTGGCCGCGCGGCCCCCCTCTGTCGGCTCGGCGGCCGACTCTGGACGAGGCTCCACGCCTAGTCACTCGTCCGTCTTGGCCTCCGCGGCCTGCTGCTGCGACTGAGGGGGCGCGCCGACGCCCTTGCCGTTGCTCTTGCCCTTGTCGTTGGCCATGGCCTGGAACTTCGCCGCTGACAGCCTCTGCGCCTCGGCCTCCACGGCCTCGGCCTCGGCCGCGGCTGCCGCGGCGCCGCCAGCGCCTGGTGGAGGGGCAGCCTGCGCGGCGGGGGCGCCCTCGGCGCCGCGCGCTCCGCGCGAGGCTCCCTCCTCAGGCGGCCCAGCAGCCGCAGCAACGCCCTCGCCCTCCGCGTTCTTCCTCTTCTTGGCAGCTCGCTCCTCTATCTCCGACTTCAGCTTCTGCGCCTGAGCCAGCCACGCCTTGACCTCGGCCTCCTTGCTCTCAAGGTCCGACGCCGTCGCCTCCAAGCTCGTGCGCAGCTTGCGGAGCACCTCCTTCTCATGCTCCTCGCACTCCATGGTCTCCACGCTCGCGAAGAACTCCTTGTCGTACGAGACCTTGAAGATCTTGTTCTCGGCCGTGTCCGCGGCCGCCTCGCACTGGACTGCTACGCCCTCCGCGCAGGCAAGGGGCCTGTGCAGCAGCCGTCCTGGCCTTGAGCGTCTGTGCGACCTCGATGGCAGCCTTGGCCTCCTCGGCCTCGGCCAGCTCCAGCAGCTTGCGCAGCTTCAGCACGTGCGCCACCTGCTGGCCGCGGCGGTGGTCGGCGTCCTTCCAGGCGCCGTCTGCCCGCCTCAGGGCCTCCACTGGGGTAACCCCCTTGGTAGCAGCGCTCGCCTCCGCCTCTAGCCGCTCGACCTGCTGCTGCAAGCTGACCTGGGGCACTGGATCCGCTTTGGACTCAGGGCCTTCTTGAGCAGGTCGGCCGTGGCGGAGGTCTTGTCCTCCCCCCTGCGCCTGCCCTTGCGTGCTGGGCTGGGCGAGCGCAGGATGCCGCGCGGGTGCTGCAGCTCTTCGACGGCCTCCTCGAATGCGACAGATGTCCTACGAGGGGAGCACTCGCAGAGGACCACCTTCTGACGACAACCTGGGCATGTGAGATTGTGCTTATATTGGCGAGCAAGTCATTGTACTCACAGCGCTGGCAATTCTGACATTGGGTCTATGCTCGGCGGGGTGCTGCCTTGCCCGCGCCCGTCATGGCTGCAACTCGAAACTATGGGATTCGTCTCTGCTTTAGTCAAGGCTGAAGCACAAATGGATGGGGCTGATTGTGCTTAGCCTAGTCCCCCAAGTGCGACGTGGCGGCACAAAGACTGGAGCTCGTTAGCTAAAATAGCTCGGGCCCCAATGTTACTTGAGAGGAGGAGGAGGAGGAGGAGGAGGAGGAGGAGGAGGAGGAGGAGAAGGAGGAGGAGGAGGAGGAGGAGGAGGAGGGGCAGGAGGAGGAGGGGAGGCGGAGGAGGAGGAGGAGGGCAAGCGAGGCGTGCTCGCGTCATATCTGACATCCTACCCCTCCCTCCCATCCTTTACCATGGCGTAGATCCCACTCTACTCGCACAGTCGGATGTCGAGCAGAGTAATGATCCCGAAAGGGTACGCGATGCATTGTAGAGCACGGCGTGGCATGGCGTAGAAGAGCACCGCAAAGCGTAGCATCAACCGAGCATTGCATTGTATGCCGTGGCATGGCACGGGAAATGACGCCAGCGCTGCAGCGGGAGCACGACTCGAAACGAGCGGACGCGCGGAAATGAGGCCAACGCTGCAGCGGGAGCACGATTCGGAACGAGCGGAAGCACGGAAATGAGGCCAGAGCTGCAGCGGGAGCACGATTCGGAACGAGCGGGGCCCGAAATGAGGCCGGCGCCTCAGCGAGAGCAGCATTTTGAAAACAAATGCAGGCGAAAACCCAACTCCGGGGAAACCTGTGTGTAAACAAATAGTACGCGGGGGGGGTCGAGCACTTTCAAACCGTCATCAGGGGAAGAGGGAGAATAGTATTCATATAGAGTGAGGAGGAAGAGGAGGAGGAGGAGGAGGAGGAGGAGGAGGAGGAGGAGGAGGAGGAGGCGGAGGGGCAGGAGGAGGAGGAGGAGGAGGAGGAGGAGGAGGAGGAGGAGGAGCAGGAGGAGGAGGAGGGGGAGGAGGGGCAGGTGGTGGAGGAGAAGGAGGAGGTGGAGGAGGAGGAGGAGGAGGCGGCGGCGGCGGCGGAGGAGGCCCGAGCACCGGGCGGCCTTCTGCGCGGGTGCTGGCTCTGGGCCTCTCCCCGAGAGCGCGCCCCAGGGGGGCCAGCCTCCGCGGCGCGCCCGTGGACAGGGGGGGGGCGGGGGCCTCCGGCGGGCGCCCCCTGGGCTGCCCAGGAAGGGAAGAACACAAGAGGGCCCAGGGAGGCACGCACGGAGGGGCGCACGCCCCAGGATCCCTCGCAGGTTTCCCCCCCCCCCCTCCTGGCTTCGCGCCGTCTCCGTCCACCGCTCTCATGCTGCCCTGGGTATCAACGCTGGTTTGCGTCAGCGTCCTTGGTTTCCCTCCGGCAAAGCATAGACAAGGCATCGTGATCGGTCGGCCTGCTCTTCTCCTCTGGCCCAGGGTCGGGGACGCGCTGACCCGGGTCAGTGCAAACCCGGGTCAGTCAGGCCTTGCAGGGCCCCGCGAGATCCTGCAGGGTCCTATAGGACCCTGCGCGCTGGCCTGGGGCAGTGCACACATGGCTCTGCAAGGTCCTGTAGGATTTGGCTCTCTGGCTGACCCCCGTTTGCATTTGCCCCCGTCCCCGGAGCCTCGACAAAGGGCCGCCCTGAGCTCACGCAGCTGGCTTTCTCCTGGCAGAGGCCTGCGTCTCTAAGTCCTCCCTCCTCCGGCCTTCCTCCCCCTCCTGCTACATTCCTCCTGTCCTCACCCTGCCCTCCCCCTCTCCTCCCGTCATCTCCCTCACCACGCCTCCCCCTGTCCTCCCCCTCCTCCCTCCTGTCTTCCTCAGGGGATGACGGCCAGTTGATAATTTCTGTTGTGACGCCTCCTCCTCTCTCCTCCCCCATCCATCCATCCCTCCTCATCCTCGCTGCGGACGCCTCGCTCTCACTTCGTTCGTCCGGCTTTCCCTCCTTGTCCATCATCCATCTCCCCTTATCCTCCTCCTCCTCCCTCATCCATCCTTTCTCATGCTTCTCTCATTCCATCTGTCCTCCTACTCCTGTCTTCTCGTGCTTCCTTTTCTCCTCTTTTACTCCTCCATCCTGCAATTATGGCTACGATATGTTTGCTCCTTTCTTTCGCGTTTTTGAACATCCTCGTCACGCATCCCTGCTCCCCTCCGTCCCCCTGAAGTACATACTCCCCGATTGTCCCCGCTCGCGGCTGCTGGAACTCTGCCGGATGGGCCCGTCCGAATCAATGAGCTTGAGGGAGGCTTCGACGCTGAAGCTCTCCGGCTTGCCCGTCTTGCGCGCAAGGGCCTCCCCGAATTTAGGGAGGTCCCCCGCGACCCATTGTCGTCCTCCTCCTCCTCCTCCTCCTGCTCCTGCTCCTCCTCGTCCTCCCCCGAATTTAAGGAGGTCCCCCTCATCATGCTGTCGTCCTGTCCTTCATCCCGCTCCTCTGCTCCCTCAGCTGTTGCTCTGTACTGCGTGTCGCTGAGTCCCCGTGTCAGGGGTGTCCCTCGCGGCACGTCGGGCGTGCTCCGCTTGTGGCGGAAAGGGGCTCCCCGCAGTCGCTCTCGCAGAAGTCTGCCAGCTCCTCCTCCTCCTCCTCCTCCTCCTCCTCCTCCTCCTCCTCCTCCTCCTCCTCTTCCTCCTCGTCCTCATGCTCCTCTTCCTCCTCCTTTTCCTCCTCATCCTTCTCATCCTCCACTTCTTTTGCCTCCTCCGCCTCCTCCTCCTCCTCCTCCTCCTCCGTCTCCTCCGTCTCCTCCTTCTCCTCCTCCCGAACGATCCATGTTTCAGCTGACTGTGCTGGCAATGCACTGGGGCACAATTCCCTCATCCTCCTGGCCGTCGTTGGGGGGGGGGTCGTGACCAGCTGGGTACATTGGGCTGGGGATCTGCCAGTGCTAGGGTCGTCCGCATCCAAATGCTGCAGCCGTTTTGGGCAGTAGGTGGGGGGCTCGAAACCCCGAGTCTCTTTGGGTAGTCCTGTCCCGAAGTTTTCGGCTGCATGGGCCGACTTGAAAAAACTGAGCGGGTACACGAATCAGGACAAGGTCTCTCGACCCCACCTCTAGAGAGGTGTATCGAGCCATGTTGATATTTGAGGCCCCAAGTTTACAAACAGGGTCACTCGACCCGCCCGTCGTGAATTCACGACGCCCCGAAAAGGTTTGGGGGGAGGAGGAGGAGGAAGAAGATGAGGAGGAGGAATAGGAGGAGGAGGAAAAGGAGGAGGAGGAGGAGGAGGCGGACGACCCGTGCAAACCCAAGACTCATCAATGATGTTGGAATAAACCCTCCCTCCAAGCTACTCTTCATAAGCCGTACAATATTCAATGCCACTGAAGGAAGTGCGCCGTTGGGAGACAGCCGTTCGAAGATCCTGAAGCGTACCCAAACACTACCCTCGGGACTCCAACACAACGACTCAACCTGACTGTTGCGTCTTGACGACCCCTAACCGTGCCAGAACACCGTACCTGGGACTTCAACGCGACGAATCAACGTAACTGCTTCGTCTTGACAATCCTGGATCGCTCCAAAACGCTATTTCTGATACGTTAGCCATGCGAACCCGCCAGCCTCTTGCAAGTTGTTTCAACGAATGTGCGCGGCGTTAAAGGTGATGACCACCTTTTGAAAAGGAGCCGCGCTCAATCTGCGAAGCTCTTGCACACTTTAAGACAAATATGCGCGGCGCTAGAACGAGAACCACATTTTGAAATCGGCCCGCCATCAATCCGTGCAACTGTTGCGAACGATTGAAACGAATGTGCGCGGCGCTAATGCGAGAACCACATGTTCAAAACCACCCGTCTTCAATCCGTACAACTCTTGTATGGCTCTGAACGAATGCGGGCGGCGCGAAGGCGAGAGCCACATTTTGAAAACCGCGCGCCCTCCATCTGTGAAGCTGCTGTCAACTTCTCAACTTCAGGATCATCACTGGTGAGGAAGTCTCAGGCAAAACGCCCGGCCCGCCTTTTCGACCTGTCCCGGGGTGCTACAGGGAGGAGTTATCTATAAAGATAAGGGAGGCCCTAGGGGGAGCCAGGTAAGGATGCGCAAGTCGGAATGGTGCCGCCGCCGGTGTCTCCCGTGTTCCTTCCCTGCCCTCCCCCGTTGCCCTCCTGCATGTTGTGGGCACCGCGGGCGCAGGGAAGTGTGCGGCAGCAGCAGCAGCAGCAGCAGCAGCAGCAGCAGCAGTAGCAGCAGCAGCAGCAGGGGGGGCCATGGTTACACTCCGAACCCGTTCGGCGCCTGAGCCCGGTCGGCCGCCGAATGGACAGCTGAACGTGCCCGGTCCAAGTGAGGGAGAGGGAATTCAATCCAGTAAGCACCCGGTGGCTTGATCCCAGGTCCGCTTGGCAGCCGATCGGCTTAAACGCTCTATAGGTTCAGGGCGCGTAGCCGCCCGACGCAACTATCGATCCCCACCTTATCCCGAACCCCCAAAACGTCAAAAATGATCCCAGAGGGGGTGACACGCCAACCGATATCGTTGACACCCCCATGAACTTATTGATTAAACCATTCCTCGGGGGGGTCCAGGACCCCTTTGGGAATCTTACAGGAATCGCGCAGGAATCGAGAGGAATCCTCAGGACTCAACAGGGATCCTCAGGAGCCCGGCAGGGATCATTCTGCATTCCTCAAGAATCTTCAGGAGCCCGCAGCAGGAATCCTCAGAGGCCCTCACGAATCTTCAAGATATCGCTAGGAATCCTTCAATCATCTCCAGAAATCAACGAAGAATCCGGCAAGAACCCTCAACAGTCCTTCACGCATCTTGCAGGAATCACTCAAGAACCCGAAGGAGTCCTCAGGCACCCTTGAGGGGTCATTCTGGTTTCCTAAAGAATTTTCAGGACTCCGCAGCAGAAGCCCTGAGGAATCCCCAGGGATCCTCACGCGTCTTCTGGTAATGTGGGATGACAATTAGGAACAAAAAGGAGGGGAGAACGATTAAAAAAATGGTTTCCCACACCGGAGGGGGAACGCTCAGAAGCAGGGCTCGCCTGTGTGGTCGTCACAGAAGGCCCGCCTCTGCGACGACCACACAAGCAGGGCTCCCCGTGTCGAGGCTAAAAAAAAAGGCCCGCCTGCGACGACCACACAGGCAGCGCTCCCTTGTGACGAGGCGCAAGGAAAGCACCCGCCTGTGACGACCACGCAGGCAGCGTTCCTTTGTGACGAGGCAAAAGGGGAGGGCCCGCTTCGGTGACGACCACACGGGCAGCGTCCCCCTGTGTGGAATCCGAATGAGAGGGCCCGTCTTTGTGACGACTATACAAGCAGGGTTCCCCTGTGTCGAGGCTCAAAAAAAGGCCCGCCTGCGACGACCACACAGGCAGCGCTCCCCTGTGACGAAGCGCAAGGAAAGCACCCGCCTGTGACGACCACACAGGCAGCGGTCACCTTTGACGAGGGTCAAAGAAAGCGCCCGCCTGTGACGACCACACAGGCAGAGCTACCCTGTGACGAAGCTCAGGGGAACTTCCACCGTGGGGGGGCGCGCGCCCGAGGACGGCGGTGGGGGGGGGACGATTAAAAAAATAGTTTCCCAGCCCGGGGCCGGTTTTTTCTAATCATCATCCCGGGCGCCGCCGCTTGAACACGGCCCCCGGTCATTTTTTTATCATCATCCTCCATTAATCACCCGGCAATGTGTAAACACCCATCATACATCCAACACGCATCCGTCAAGAATCCGAAGGAATACTTCAGACATATTCACGACTTCTCGGGAGCCCACACAAGCCCGAAACATCCCTCAGGAATCCTTCCGGAATCCTGCCAACATCTCACAAGAAACCATCGGGAACCCGCAAGAACTCTCAGAGATCGCTTTGGAATCCACATCGCAACACGGCCGTGCAGGTCACGTTCTCAACTCCTCCTCTATGCTCCTCTCCGCCCAGAACTATCTAACAATTTGCTCCGTCGCTGGACGACCTACTCCTTCATTGAATGTGGAGGGAGGAGGAGGAGGAGGAGGAGGAGGAGGAGGAGGAGGAGGAGGAGGAGGAGGAGGAGGAGGAGGAGGAGGAGAGGAACGAAGAGGGGGAGGAATGGTATGCCAGGTATGGGGATAAGGAAGAGGATGAAAAGGAGAAACTGTAGTACGCTTTTGCGTCGTGAGAGCGGGCTGATCACTCTCAATATCACAATTGAACACCTTGTTGGACACTGGCAAACAAGTGCGTTCTACATCCGAGCCCTGTCTTAGCGCGGCGATCACATCAACGCGCGGAATCGAAAACCTCTGGGCTGTTCCGTTCCCTTTGCGATCCCGAGAACTCCTGGGAACCCCTGCGGAATCCTGAAGGTTCTTGGGGATTCCTGGGCTAGCTAACTGACTGGCCCGGGGGGGTCTTGCGGTTCCTGGAGGATTCCTGAATGATTATTGACTGGTCCTGGGAGGACGCCTGCAGGACTCGTGATGGAATCCTAATACATCCTTTGGGGGGTTCTGCAGATTTCGGCGGATTTCTGATAGCTTCTAACCCCTGGCGATTTCTGAAATATTCCCGAATCCTGAAGATTATGGCAAAATTCTTGTGGATGCCAAACGGATTGCTGAAGATTCCTGCCGGGTTCAGGCGGGAGTCCGGAGGATTCCCAGAAGGCTCCTTGGGATTTCCAGGGGTTCGATCCGTGAGGACCCCAAAGGTGTCCTGAAGGCCAGGCCCCGCCTGCCCTGGCCTCCCGCCTGGGCGTTCGTCGTCGTCTGCCTGCTTCTCCCCCCCGCCACGCTGGTTCCGCGCAGCCTGCCCGGAACCAGCGTGGCGGCATGTAGGGCTTCTTCTCCGACTCTGCTCTGAACGTGGAACTCACAGCTTGGACGCCCCCCATGCCGCTCGAGCGCCAGGGACTATAATACCTAAGCTGCTTGGGGCAGTCTTGGGTTGGATCCCTTTGGACTGCCTTGGGCCGTCCTGGGTTGGGCTGCATTGGGCCCAGTGTGCCCTCGCTGCTCTTTCTTATCGGGTGCCGTCGCGGAGCGAGGGGGCGCGCTGCCCGTAGCCAGAGAAACAACAAACCAGGCACATCCCTGGCCACAAATGACACCCCACCCACACATCATCCTCCCAGAATCAGCCGGGATCCTGGAGGAGTCTGCGTCGTCCTGAGGGTTCCTAGAAGAGTTCCTTGGGCTTCCTGCGCGATTCCTAACAAAGGTTCCAACACAGTCTTCTGAGAAGGTCTCCTGGGGGGTCGCGTGGGTCCCACAGGTGTCCTCCATATTCCTGCGGATTCTCAATGCTTCCCACAAGGAACCCGATGAAAATGGCTTCTTCCCGCCTTCCTAGAAAACCTCTGTCTGAGCGCCTCGACGAGCCATCTCGCTTCTCGCTGCGAAACCACTCATGATATTGAATGTTGTCTGCAACCCTGAAGGCTCCCCCGTCCCTAGAAATATCGCCCCCCCCCCGCACCGACCGCGATATTTAGCACCCGCGTTCCGAAATGTTTCGGGGCTGAGAATGTCGGGGGAGCGGGGAAGGTTGAGTCGGCGGGGGGGGAGTGATTTTTACAACAAATGAAGAATCCTGGAGATTCGGCCTTTTATGTTGAACGCAATGTTGAAGCGCTCCTAGACCAGCTGATTGGGCGAACGCTACTTCTTTACTACTATTGGGGCACCGAGTCCTGATGGCGTCAAGCACTCGGGCGCGTGGCTGACGACAAGATGATACTGTGCAATGTGACACAACACGTGTGTCATACATCAGCGTTGCAACACTTTCGTCACGAATTGGAATGTCACCATCTTGCGTTGGCAAGGCGCGATCCCGCCAAGTGGGATGCCTAAAACATTTTTTTACGCCGGTTTTTACATTACCCCGTTACATATGGTGTATATGTATAAACTGCTATATAACCGAAAGGCATCCCGGACTATGAATCCAGGATCTTTGATCCGACCGCTCGTGCCCCAACTTGGCGCGGTCGAGACAAGGGTCAGCATTCGCCAGCCCGCTCGCGCGGAAGTGACGGACGAAACCTGCACCATCTACGACAAACTTTTGCAACGACGTAGTATTGCGCTTGCGTGCGCAATACAAAAGAAGGATGACCAGCCCAATTTCGAACACTGCGTTGTGGAAACAACTTGCTCCATTAACGTTCTGGGGACTTCGTCGTGACACGGTCTGATGTGACATGCTGTGACACAAAGCACGTATATTCTTGCGCGCGCGTGCGCGCGTACGCACGCGCGCGCACCCTCGCGTGCACGATGCGAATACATTTAGGAAATGGCCAGCTCAACTTCGACAATGGTGGAGACAGATCGTTCCATTCATATGTTGTAACCCCTAACATGGAATAGTGCCTCATGACGCAAGTCATTATTCATTGCTTTTGCGCGCACGTGCGCGTGCGCCCCTGCGTGCGCAATACAACAACCAAAAGAGAATGGCCATCTTACCCTCGAGAACTGAATGGGGAAAACCATCTGTGTCATTCCTACTTCGAGGGCGTCAACATGAACTTATGCGTTGTATCAGGATGCGTGTTCCTTACTGTTCGCATGTGTTTGCGCATGATTCAGCAACCATTAGGGAATGGCCAATGTAGCTTCGAAGACTGAGTGGTGAAAGTATGCGGGGGTAGGGGCAGTGGGGGAATCATGTCCCTGGAAGCCCCTCCGGGAACATGATTTCAGACGTCCCCGGAAGCCCCTCCAGGAACCTCTGGCCCAGAGGCCCCTCCAGGAACCCCGGCAACGTGCCCAAAATGCGTTCTGGCAAAACCCCCCCTAAAGATCCTTACGGGAGGGTTTAAACGGACTTTGCTTGACTACAAAAGGTTTTGTAGTCAAGCAAACTTTCAGGAGCTCATTTTTCCGGCCGACGGCTCTATCAGTCCTCGTATTCGGTCGGGGGGCCACGGGTTGCCGCTGCCATTGGAGCCCCCCCCGTGGTCCGGCGAAGGACGGCACATTCACTCGCATTCTGAACGCTGCAATGTGGATGTAGTATGGCACCATGCGGTTCTTTCTTGCTCGTGTGCGCCTGCACGCGCGAGCAATAAGAACAGCGTGGTGTGACACATTGCATAATTCCAATTTTCAGGCCCTGAAGCTATGAGTGAGCCAAGTGGCTTTCACCACCCAGTGTTCCAAGCTACGTTGGGAAATTGATGTTGGTTGCACGCGCGAGTGTGCGCGCAGTCCGAAACGCGTATCGTGTCACATTTCACCATCTCATGTTGGCGCCCAGGGCACGAGTAAAGCAGTTGGAAGTTTGAAATATGTGGGTGGTGTTCGCATGGCGCAGGCGAAAGTACGTGCGCGAGAACGCACCCTCAATGTGAAAGCCGTAGCTTTGTCTTCAATCAGTCACGCAATGTTGAGGCCCAAAAGGAGAGTGAAACGATTGATGTTATCATTCAATGTTCGAAATTGGGTTGACCATTTACTACTGATTACCGTGCGAACGCGCCGCGCGCACGCGCGCGTGGTACGCGCGCCTCCGCGGGCGGCGTTGGATTCTGTAGTTTTCACAACAGGAAGCTTTCCATGTAAGCATGGGAGCCCGAATCAGTCCTTAACGGTTGCCAAACGGATTTCGGATGTCACGCGCACCCGCCGTATTTTCCAGAATAGACGAGTCGCACCGCCGAGTCCCAATTGCGGCAGGTATTCGGGCGCGCGGCACCGACGCTAGGGGCGGCGTGCGGCGTTTGCACATTTCACTCGTCCTTCCCGCCTCGTCATCCTCCTATCCTTCCCTTCCCCCTGACCATCGCCTTCGCCATCACCATCATCATCCCGATCAAAATGCATGTCGCTTGCATCATGTTGCGCTCTCTATATCCGCCGGCCCCCTTGTGGGGCTACCAGGCTGCGAGGCGCGCGATTCGCAGTTTCCTGTACCAGTTGTAGTTTCTAGTTTCCAGTGTTACAGTTCTGCTTCTTGCTGGTTACTGTAACTAGTTGACTTCTTGCTGGTTACTGTAACTAGTTGATTGACCGCGCGAGGGGGGGGGAGGCCCAAACAAGATTTTCCAGCGTCCCCTGGGCGCGTTGTCTGAATAACTGGGGGGGCTCGAAACCGACACCCCTCACGCAGATCCGCGGGGTCAGGGTCCAAAAACACAGGGGATTTGCCACATTTCTGAAATTCGGTGCCACCCCTCACGCAGATCCGCGGGGTCAGGGTCCAAAAACACAGGGGATTTGCCACATTTCTGAAATTCGGTGCCACCCCTCACGCAGATCCGCGGGGTCAGGGTCCAAAAACACAGGGGATTTGCCACATTTCTGAAATTCGGTGCCACCCCTCACGCAGATCCGCGGGGTCAGGGTCCAAAAACACATGGGATTTGCCACATTTCTGAAATTCGGTGCCACCCCTCACGCAGATCCGCGGGGTCAGGGTCCAAAAACACAGGGGATTTGCCACATTTCTGAAATTCGGTGCCACCCCTCACGCAGATCCGCGGGGTCAGGGTCCAAAAACACAGGGGATTTGCCACATTTCTGAAATTCGGTACCACCCCTCACGCAGATCCGCGGGGTCAGGGTCCAAAAACACAAGGGATTTGCCACATTTCTGAAATTCGGTGCCACCCCTCACGCAGATCCGCGGGGTCAGGGTCCAAAAACACAGGGATTTGCCACATTTCTGAAATTCGGTGCCACCCCTTACGCAGATCCGCGGGGTCAGGGTCCAAAAACACATGGGATTTGCCACATTTCTGAAATTCGAACCCATCACGCACATCCATCGCAAGGCGTGGTAACCCAAACTGCGAGAACTCCCTCGGCTCTTTCATCGCAAGGTGTGGTAACCAAGCCCTTAAACCATACACGTCTTACCAATCGCCAGGTGTGGTAACCCCTCTTGTGATCAGTTGGTTTTGCTGATTGCGACTCGGCTTCGCATGAAGTTTCGATACTGCTTCACGACAGCGCCAAGGCCTCATGACTTAGCTCTTCCATGGCCCATTCTCCGAGAGAGGGGGCCGGCGGCAGGGGGCGAAGCGCTTACGGATAAGACGTCGTTGCGCTTTCCAAATAAGAACCACACATTTCGGTTGCAGCATGCTGCGCTTCCGACACACAAGCACATTTTGTCGTGCACCAGGCCGCGTCTCGCTGAAACAGATTTTACGTCGTTTGCAACTTGTTGAATCTCAAATCCCACAAAGTGACCCTTCAGGAATCCTTTGGAGTCCTCTGACATCCGGACGATCCCTGCAAGCATCCTGCAGGAATCTTCAGAAATCCAACAGGACGCCCCAGGAATCCTTACGGAATCAGGCTGAAATCCTGCAGAGTCTTCGGGAATCTTCAGGCATCTCCCCGAATCCTTGCGAATCCTCGAAGAATCCGATTGGAATCCGATCGGGGTCTTGTTGGGATCCTGTTTCCACTTGGTGGGATCCCGCACTGAGGCATCTGTGGGGCGGGATATCACTCCCAGGGGCGGACAGTAATATAGTTTCGCCGAAATTGGGGGGGGGAGGGGGAGGGGGCGATGAGTGCGTCGGACCGTGTTAGCCGTGGGGGGGGAGGGGACTCACGCCATCTGGTCGTGTGCCGCACCGTGGCAGGAGGAGCCGACAGAGCGAGACGGGTCTGGTGCAGCTCAGTTACATCGCCAGCTGGCGAGCAGATAGCAGGATTGATAGCGCTCGCGTTTCAAGTGGACGATCGAGGCGGGCCAACAGGGGAGACGACTTAGGGGGGGGGTCAGCGAATCGGCTGTACGCGCCTAGGTTTCCCGGCGCCCCTCGGCGCCGGAGGCGGCCACGTATCCAGGAAAGGGCCTGGCGGGGGAGACACCAGCTGCAGGAAGCAGACTTCGTGACACCCCCTTTCCCGATCCCCACCATGTACCATCGGTCGGAAGAAGTAGGTAGAAACATGAAGTAGGAAGGCGTTGAAAGTAGATTGGGTTCCCTCCGACAGCTATGGAGGGCGGAACAGGTGAAGCCACTCGATCATTGAAGTAGGAAGGCGCTTAAAGTAGATTGGAATCTGGGAATCCCCAAATACCTATTTTCAACGACCGATGGGTACGTTTGACCCGAGACACCTTGAGGGGGGGGAGCAGAGCAGCATCGGGCGCGTTGGCTGCACCGCCTCGAGGCGGTAGAAGCGCTCGGGGGGCAGGGACTCCTCGATCGTCTCCCAGCACTTGCCGTATTCCTGGAGAAAGAGGATGTGGGCGCAACTCCTCTTCCTCCCCCGCATCCTCCTCCACATCCACCTCGTCCATCTCATCCTCTGCTATCCCCCGTCCTTGTCGCATCCCTCTGCGAGATGACACGGAGAGGCACTGGACGTGCTAGCATAGGAACTGTGCAGGCCTTCCTCCTGCTCATCCTCCCGTTCCTCCTCCTTCCCTCCTTCTCCTCGTTTGCTCCTTCTATGCCCCCCTTCTATGTTTTTGTTCCTCCTTCTCCCCCCGCATGTCCACACACTTGCAACGTGCAAGCACGCTGGTCTTCAAATCTGCAGAGGCTCCTTGAAGTGGAAGTTCCCTCATCCAGGCGCGCGCTGACAGACCAGACCACTGCGCAGGCTTTCTTAAGCGAGTGCGGCTCACACCTACTTTCTCAGCACCCTCGGAGCTGACCATTTGCTCGATATCACGCAGATCGTCCAATGACGTGCGCCTCCCTCCTGGCAGCGACGGCCGTACTGCAGGAGCTCCTCCTCCTCCTCCTCTTCCTCCTCCTCCTCCTCCTCCACCTCCTCCACCTTTTCCTCCTCCTCCTCCTCCTCCTCCTCCTCCTCCTCCTGCTCCGCCTCCCCCGCCTCCTCCGCCTCCCCCTCCTCCTCCGCCTCCCCCTCCTCCTCCTCCTTCTCCTCCTCCTCCTCCTCCTCCTCCTCCTCCTCCTCCTCGCCCTGCTGCTGCTCGCCGGGGCGGCCTCCGCCGGATCTCAGAGCTCGCTCTGACTCTGGGCTCACCGAGCCTCCAACAGCAACCCTCGGGACTGACCGGCGAGCGCGGTCGCCTCGTGGGCGACGCCTGGCTCGCCGTCCTCGCGTTTTGCTTCCCCGTCTCTCTCTCTTCCTCCTCCTCCTCCTCCTCCTCCTCCTCCTCCTCCTCCTCCTCCTCATCCTCCTCATCCTCATCCTCATCTCATCCTCATCCTCATCCTCATCATCAGCATCAGCATCAGCATCAGCATCAGCATCATCATCATCATCATCATCATCATCATCATCATCATCATCATCATCATCATCATCATCATCATCATCATCATCATCATCATCATCATCCCCGTCCTCTGGATACCCCCCCTCCGTCCCTCTTCTGCTCCTCCTCATCCTCCACCTCCTCTTTCCCTTCCTCCTCCTCCTCCTTCTCCTCCTCCTCCTCCTCCTCATTCCTCTTCTCCTCGTCTTCCCTGATCCACTGCCCCGATGCTCTTTCTGCTCCGGCTCCTCCCGATCCTGGTTCCTCCCGATCCTGGCGGACGCGCGGCGGTCCTTGAACAGCGCGAACGGCAGCAAGTTGGCGCTGTAATACGCGTTCGTATTCTCCTCTCGCCGCGAAGAAGAGCTCCTGAAAATGACGGGTCCTGGACCCTGGGGCTTCCCCCCGGGGCCGGCCACGACCCCAGAAATCCGCGGGGCCCTCCGACAAATCACACCTGGGATTTCTCTTGTTCCTCGGCTCGTGGTAACCCACTAATCGGGGGAGAAAAGAGGATCTCGACACCAGCTCACGCCGCCAGCGTGACCCTTCCGGGGGCAGCATGCCCCGTCGCCACGCCTCGTCGAGCCCCCTCGGCCCTCGGGCAGGACGGGGGGCCTCCGAGAGGAGCGCACCTGGCAGATCGGGGGTCCTCGGAGGCCAGCTCCTCCTGCTCGTACCCGACGCGGGGCATCTGGAGAGACCTCGGGGCCGCGGGAGGCGCGAAAGCGGGACTCGAAGAGGCACGGGTGGGGGGGGGGGGAGGAGAGGAGGAGGAGGAGGAGGAGAGGAGGAGGAGGAGGAGGAGGAGGAGGAGGAGGAGGAGGAGGAGGAGGAGGAGAGAGGAGGAGGAGGAGGAGGAGGAGGAGGAGGAGGAGGAGGGAGAGGAGGAGGAGGGGGAGGGGGGGGAGGAGCGGCCCGTGCGTGCCTCGCACCGCCTCGTGCCTCGCCGTCGCTCGGGCGCGCCGCTTCCCCGTGCCTTTGTCTCGCTGTCGCGCGTGTTTTTTTTTTTTTTGCCCACGAGGATCCAAGAGGCTCCTCGATGGCCCTCGCGGAGCACAGGCGCACACGTCCGAGCGATGCCAAGGTGTGGGGGGGGGGGGGCAGGGCAGGGGCCCCGGACCAGGCCTCGGGGGTTCCCCATCTCAGTCCCCGTGGCCCGGCCCCCCGCGCTCCAGAACGTCAAGAAAAACTGTTTCCGGGCCCCTGGGCTGCGAAGGGAATTTACCCCGGGACGAAATACTGCCGCGCGCAACCCAAACAAGTTTGGGCGGGCTTCGGCATAGGCGTTCTTGCGACAGCACGCGCGCACGGGCGTTCAAATGACTTCGACACGCGCGCGCGAAAAGCACGTTTGGTATCAATTGATGCAAGCGTTTGAAAAACAGATGGTCTCTTGAAATGCACAAGAGCGCGACCGCATGTTTTACGATTCGGTTGCTGGACGAGGGCGCCAATGCGGGGTCGTACATCATAGGCCTCTTCGATGTGTTCTGTGGGGAGGCGTCTCGGGGTCGTCGCGGAAACTATGTTGGTGGTTTGGGAAATAACTTGAAGCCCCTTTTGGTTGATTTTCGGTCTTACTGGGGACCTCGTGAACCCTGGTTGGGGCGTTTGGGCGCCTGCTGGCAGTTTCGTGGGTCCTTTAGGGCCGGATGGCTGGCGCCTGGTGGCGGTCTGAAGGTCCGTCTTGGGGCCTGCTTCGAGGATCGTGGGGCATCTTCGCCCGTCTTGGAGCCTTCTCGGGCCGTCATGGGTTGTCCTGGGGCGATGTTGGGGGACTTTGGGGCCTTCCTGGGGCGTCTGTAGCACGACAAAACGATAATGCCAAAATCATGTGAAAATCTATGGCAAACGCACAGGTTTTGGATTTGGAGGCCCACTTGGGGGTTCCTCTTGGAGCTCTTCACAGCGTTTGGAATGTCTCTTAGGCCATCAGGAGGCAATTTTGGACCCTCTTGGGGTTGCCGCCGTCTCGTTTGCACGACTTCACAAGGACTCCCAGAAACCCAGAGGTCTCATGGGACCCTCGGCAGGGGCGTCCAGGAGCCCCAGACGCTAGGGATTCCGGGTCCGGCACGGGGGGGGGGGTCCCACCCCCCTGGAATGCAAACATATAGAAAAAGAAATATGTCAAACGATTCCCATTCTTATATTTTTCCCCACATCCAAAGTGGGGTTCTTGTTTTCTCTGCACACCCCGCGCAGGAACACTCACCCCACCCCCTCTCCTCTTCTGCCTTCGCACACTCACTCACTCACTCATCAGCACCACCCACTCACACTCACACTCACTCGCACTCTCTCATCATCAACATCAGCATCATCACTCGCGCTCTCTCACACGCTCAGCCACTCACATACTCATCATCATCATCATCATCATCATCATCATCATCATCATCATCATCACTCGCACTCTGTCACACGCTCACTCATTCACATACTCACCTGGAAGAAGTCTCAGGCGGGAGCTTCGTCTGTGAGTGAATTGTGAGGAAGTCTCAGGCGGGAACCCCCTCCCTATGGGGCCCGCGCTTCATGTTGGTAATCCGAGCGGGTCATCCAAACCCTGTAACTGTCGTCACTGTTGGGCTCTTCAGGCCTGAATTTGGAGGAAGTCTCAGGCGGGAACTTCGTCTGTGAATGAATTGTGAGAGAGTCTCAGGCGGGAGCCGCCTCTCTATGGGGCCCGCAGATCATGTTGGTAATCCGAGCGGGTCATCCAAACCTTGTAACTGTCGTCACTTTTGGGCTCCTCGAGCTTGAGTACGGAGGAAGTCTCAGGCGGGGGCCTCGTCTGTGAGTGAATCGCGAGGAAGTCACAAGCGGGAGCCCCTCCCTATGGGGCCCGCGCTTCACGTTGGCAATCCGAGCGGGTCATCCAAACCCTGTACCTGTCGTCACCGTTGGGCTTTTCAGGCTTGAATTCGGAGGAAGTCTCAGGCGGGAGCCTCGTCTGTGAGTGAATTGTGAGGAAGTCTCAGGCGGGAGACCCCTCCCTATGGGGCCCGCAGATCATGTTGGTAATCCGAGCGGGCCATCCCAACCCTGTAACTGTCGTCACTTTTGGGCTCTCGCGCTGCCAGAACGCAATTCCCGGGCCACATTGTGCATGCCCGGGGCCAACTGTAGGCCACTTCGTGTTCTTCGTGTTCCCAGAACACCATTCCCGGGCCACATTTTGAAACCCCGGAGCCAACTGTAGGCCACTTCGTGTTCTTCCTGAGCCTGAGCGCGGCTGCGCCCCGCTCGAAGCCCGCGGGGGTGTCCCAGCGGCTTGGTCTTGCGCGCAAGCGGCCCGCGAGTTGTCCCGACAGCCTGGCCCGCGGGGTTGTCCCAACGGCTGCGCGACGTGGCCATTAGAGAACGCGCCTGTGCTGGCCGAGGCGGCGACGGCGCCGAGGAAAACCGACATGCGCGCTCGTGCAATGGAAAGGCGAGGCGGTGGCGGGGCGCGAAAAAAACAGGAGGGCGAGGTCGGGGGCAACGTAGGGAGCGGGGGGAGGGCCCGCGCCAGGGCGAGAAGAAATATACGCAGAAGAGACAGTCAGGACGCCTCACCAACCACGAGGACGACGGTGAGCGCTTTTTCCAGATTCGCCCAGAGGATTATCATGTGGGGTCCTTCCGTCGGAGTAATTATTACCTGGAACCCCCACCCCCACCCACCCCCCTGATGGTAAGGCTCCAGGATGAGATGTTCTCAACGCAATTCAATTCCAGAGAGCAGCGCTAGGGCCCAAGTGCATATGAAAGTGCATAGGAAGTGTTGAAACAGGATCCAGCCTGCGAGCGTCTGCATGCTTCGCCACAAGCCGAAAGGCAGTCTGCGAGCAGACGTCATGGGCTTGCCAAAGCGTGCTCACAACGACTCTCTGCGAGCACGAAGTGGCCGCGACAGGGTTGGCAAGCCTTCTCAGTGAACTGCATTGCGCAGGACCCAGTCAGAGCGCGCTGAAGCACGCTCGTGAAATCTATTCACAAGCAGTCATTGCTGCCTTCTTGGAGCGGCGGCGGCCATTGAGAGCCCAAAGAAGCCGCGCCAGTGCTTCAAAGTTGCGTAGGTAGCGTTGGTGGACGGGTGGGTGGCGCGCGGTAGTGGGCTCCAGGCCTGCAGCGGCCGAGCTCGCGGCAGTGAGATACTGGCCTTCAAAGGCTTGCAAGCAGTACACCTACACAGCGAGGCGTCGGCTCACGCCGACGAGGCTGCTGCACAAAGCAGCGTTGCCATGCCCAAGCCAATGTATTGGCGCTGGCAGTTTTCGCCATTACATTGCGCGGTGGCTGTTGCCATTTTGGCACGCCTTTGTAAACAAAAAATGGAGGAGGAGGGGGGTGAGGCACGGAGTGGAGGAGTGAGAGGGTCCCCCTCGTCCTCCTCCTCCTCCCTTCCTTCTCCACTCCTCCTCCTCCTCCTCCTCCTCCTCCTCCTTCTCTTCCCTCTCCCTCTCCTCCTCCTCCTCCTCCTCCTCCTCCTTTTCCTCTCCCACTCCTTTTCCTCGTCCTCCTCCCCCTACCCTCCTTCTCCTGTGGCGGGGCGGGCAGGGCGCGCCTGCGCGCCGTAGGTGTCCCGTCGGCGGGGCGTTGCACTCTCTCTCTCTCTCTCTCTCTCTCTCTCTCTCTCTCTCTCTCTCTCTCTCTCTCACTGTCTCCTCCCGCTGATGGTGGTTATGATGGTGATGGTGATGCGGCCGATGTTGGCCATGCCGATCGTTGCGATGGTGCTGGTGCTGAGTGTGACTATGACTATGGCGATGGTGTGTTCACGCTGCTCTCAGCGGAGGGTGCAAGCCATCTGTCTAGGCTTTGCCCCGCAGCCCCTCGAACCAGGCCCGGCGCTTGCGATGCATTGAATCGTTCGCCTTCGTGCTGAAATGCTCGGCGTTCAACTTCACCATCGAGTTTTTCACTGGGACCTCGAGCTCGCGAGTGGACGCTGGGAAGCAGGTCGGAAACGATGCGACGAACGCTGCATCTCCGAGTGGGCTGCTGGGGCCCGAGGGCTTCTTGCTAGAGGTCTTGGCTGTGCTCCTGGCCATCTCCGTCTGTGGGCGAGCTTGCTCGCGCCACACTCCGTGGAGAAGATGCCCGTGGGGAATGTACATGCTTGTGAGCTCGTCGAGCTTGATGGTCAGCACGTTCGTCTCCAGGTAGGCGCATCCCTCAGGCGTCTCCAAGAAGCGAGGGTGGTCTGCCGCAGTGAACCCTTTTTGCCAGGATGTCCGCGAGTGGAGTGAGTTGCAACGTCAAGCCCTTCTCCACGACGACCAACACAGACGCAACACCTGGCAACGGAAACGACCTGGCACCAAAGCGCACGCAGTTCGCACGGGCTGCGAGGATCCACGGTCCATTGCCTTCACCGACCTCCAGGTCGGGCCACGTCGTCTTTAGGGCATCGTTGCAATCGGCGTCCTCGAAAACAGTCACTGCCCCGCTTCACGATGGGTTCCCGTTCATGTGGTCCCGCACGGCGTCGACCTTCGTCATCACGGCCTGGGTCTTGAGCATGTCGTTCAGCTCCTTCTTGCGGTCGCAGCCTTTGGTCCAGACCGCCACGCCATCAGGGTTCGTGTCCGCGTAGTCGTATTTCACCGTCATCCATGATGGGTTATGTTATGTATCCTGCTCTGGGTGCTGCACCAGCGACGTGTTCATGTCGAACATGCGCGCGATATTGGATAAGGTCTTCGCGTGCTGC